AGAGAGAGAGAGAGAGCATGAACTCCGGAGCACGAGCCCCAAATCAAGCTATCTTTTCCTTTTGGCCCCTCTAGCGGTCAGGAGCCTTTATTGCATGGCTGATGATGAGATGAACCTTGTCTGGCTGGAGGTTGGTGGTTGGCTTCCAGAGCTGGTGTTCACTGTAACATCGTTGGCTAGATTCAAAATACTTCGGGTAATTGTTGGTTTTGGCTATGAAATGGGAGCAGGTAGATAGGAATGACATCATCATCAAAGCACACATCTAATGCTACCAAAACCTCTATGTCATCCTTGAGGTGGTTGTTGTCATGCTGAACATCCCATCTCTTGTACTTTGCTTTAAAGGCTGTCCTCAATCTACTTAGCTACTTGTCTCTATAGGGGCATTTAGCTACCTGTCTCTATAGTGTATAGAAACGAAGTCTCTTGCACTTGGAGTACAATAGTGGCAAAAACAAGACAATACACCTTGAAATTTATACAATACACTTGGAATCCAACATGTAAAATGAAATTGCAGCAAGGTTACTGTGACTACAGTGTATGATTGACTTTAAAATACATCCAAAATAAGATGATACAACTCAACTTGGTACTTGTCCATGAATAAAACAAGCTACACAAGGAGATCATCAAACCACAAGTATAAGGTGCTTTTGAAAATTCTGCACCACTCAAAATTACAAGGCAAAATTATACATCAATAAACTCCATTAAATTGAACATGACATGATCTCCATCACAACAGCATACATATGCTCAAGTGTGTAATGCATCATGACCTTGAGAAGCTGATCAGAGCTCTTGGGTACCTGGATTGCGGCTTTGGGTCTTAGCTATGTGCCATTGAGTGACATGTGATGGCATATCTTAAAATTCAAACAATTCATCATCTCATAAGTGGGAAGCTAAGAATTTACTGATATAGACTTAAAATGTGGAAGGATATGTAGGGATTTAAAGATCAAAACAAGTGGGAAAATCATGGGAGAATCTGAGCTTTTAAAATACAAAACCGGTTCAATTGAGTTTACAAATCAAGCCACACAAATTTGGCATAGTCTTCTCTTGTAAAAACAACAATTTAAGGAATAAAAAAGAAAATCTAATTGATCAATATGATTATGAAAATCTCAGAAACATATCAGTTAAAATTGTTCCAAAAAATCATAAGGAAAAACTCATGAAAAATTTGGTCAATATATGTATGGATGATGCCTTCAACTATAGGGATCAAGAGGGATCAAAGTAGATTCAAAGGATCAATGATCTAACCATCAAAGGATGAAGATAACTTGCTGTAATTGAGGATTACAACATGTAAAAAACAATAAGAATCGAAGCACATGGTGAAATCTTACTCAATTGTTGAAGGCCTCAGGACTAGATCATCATTACTTGAATTTAAGCTTTGAATCACCATTAATGGAGTAGTGAAAGACCTCCAATGTAGCTTTCTCTCACCTTAACTTTAAGGCAACTTTCTAGAGAGCGAAAGGAAAAGAAGTGGCTTGGGTGTACCACTCTATGAGTGAAGAGAGAGTGAATGGCTTAGCACTTTAGAGAGAGAGTGAATGTGAACTCCTATGAGAAATGAAGACTCAAAGGGGTATTTATAGGCTTCTAACTCTTAAGTGTAGATGTACTTCTAGATTGATGAATCTTGCCCTCTATGTCATCATCTAATGACTACAAAGAGAGGTTTGATCCTAGCTCACCATCCACCATGATGCCATCAAGATGTGTGGTATGGATTTAAACACCTTTATCCTTCTTTAATTCACTCCAAAGTTTCTTGTTATTAAAATACCAATGCTCTTTACATTTAATTAAACCAAAATCAAGATGGAGGGTATACCCTTTTGATAATTTGATAAATCCAGCCAAAAATAAATCTCAAAAGTTCCCTATATTTTATAAAAGCATATGCTAATGAAATCATGCCATATAAGCTAGGTGGTTAATTGTACATATACCATATATCCTTAGGGTTAGGCTTGTAATTACAAACCCTATAACCCTTCTAGAAACCTCTACACGTGCACAAATCCCTTGCTTTAAGCTTTAAACATGAGCTAAAATCATTTTTCCAAAATCACATTATTTCATAAAATTTCAAAATTCAATGCCATTCACTTACACCAACATATCTCCCCTTGGAGGGTTGATGTCATCGCCATGTCATCCTCCATGTGGGGTGATGTGGGACCCCCCTAGGCCTCTATGTGGACACCCATTGAACATTTGGGTGTCCCGTGTGGGTCCGGTGGGACTGTCCTTATTTGTCATTTTTCATAAACAATTTTGAAAAATGCATTTTCTTGCTCAAACAAATCCAGAAAACATCCCAAAAATCCACTAAGATCGATTTTAATGATTTTCCATCAAAATGAATTATTTTGATATTGTGTAAAAACAATTACAAGGGGAAATTAGATCCGTGAAGTTGAATTATGAATCGGAGCACTCCACTCGGCTAGACCCTGAATCCAAAGGTACCTTCTCGGTATGACGCAACAGAGACCTACAATGTATAATTAGGGGCTTATGATCTTAGCCTATCAAAGCCAAACCGGTGAGTGGCCCCGAATCCCCAAGTATAAGTGGATTTCAGGTGCACCCCTTAGAGGGCATGCACAGACATGGTGCGAGGGTCCTCGCTCGGTACATGTGCATACCTCTTACCAGTGGATCCTTAGAAAAGCGGCTTCCCATGCATGGCGACTGCATATGCACATACTTGAGAAGGTTCTAAGAGTCAGGGATTTAGGTCCATGCCCTCTATTGGCCCTGACCTTCCCGTACAGAGCTATTTTGTTATCGAGCTCATATTATATAATTACATAAACACATAAATCATATTGCCCTGGCCCATCACACAGTCGTGAGGCATAGACATAATAACAGACCTTGACTAAGAGTAACCCTCAACCCTCCAATACCTCTCATGGGGCAGATTTTGAAGGGGACATGTGACTGGACTTTGGGAACAATGACGGGCGAAAATATTTGTGCTTTCACTTTCTCGTTATTTCGAATTTCCCATAGAGCCTAATTGCTTCAGACTCCTCAAGCTTCAAAACTTCGTGTCTTAGTTATATTGGGACACTTCAATATCTCTTTACTACTCTCTCCAAGTCTAATTCCTAACATGTTGGCCCGCATGCGGACATACAGGCATCCTCTGCACTGGATATTACATGTCCATTTCCTGCTACCACCACCTAACTTTGGAACTTCGCCAATTCATATCTCCACAATTGGTTGGCAGCAGGCTCTTCGGCATTGTCATAATCAAAACTCGATACTAGCATATTATCAAACTTTGCTGCTGTGTCCAGTGCAAAGTGCAAACAGGTTATCGATCTTGATTGCTGTTTCTGTTGTGAACAGGTCAAATGGGGACCTATAAGGACCATCCCAACTAATCCCAAACCCAGAAGCATAGACTAACTGTCAAACTAACAAAGAAAGATAATCCATGTGCCAATTTGTTGCATGTGGTCGTACAGAAACTAATACTTGTAACATTAGAACAAAGCTCCTCCAAGGCATCCTTAAGGACATCATTCCAAATTGCTGGGTAACAAACTTCTTCCTATATCTTCTTCAGCCTCTCGCTAAGTGCATAGATGTGATGCCTCATGCATCTTGTAATTTCCCACATCATCATTAGGTCCTTTGTGCACTCCTTAAACGGCTAGTATAACCTTTCTAGGTCGGCTATCAATTCTTCCATCTTAATAACCCAAGTCGGCCCAATCTCCTTCTGCAAATACGATTTCCGTCTTCAAAATCACCATCATGGCATAACACTAGGAAAGTGAATGACATTATAAAACAGAATGCAAGATTTATCTTGCTTAATATCTCCTTTGCAGAGAACTGCAATCTGGTTGCCATAGCCCTTGGACCTTTTACAATGAAAATGCTGAACAATACAAAATGTTTTTAGAATCTAGACTATCCTAACATAGTGAACATCTACAAATCATAGCAAACAATCGACTACCATCTCATCAATTGCCTGCCCCTATCAAGCCCAAACTCCAGTCCCTAGTGGAGAGTGAAGGTGGAATAGCATACATAAAAAAGTCAGGCCTGTAAACAACGTAATTCCCAAATAGAACATGGCACCAATTCCACAACAGCCTATGCTGTGCAATCTAAATGTGCAACCAAAC